CTGGTGCAAGCACTGTGGAAATCAGTATGGAGATACCTCAAAGAACTAGGACTGGAAGTCCCATTTGACTCAGCTATTCCCCTGCTGGGTATCTTCTCCAAAGAATTAAAAGAATCATACCACAGTGATATATGTGCACCCATGTTCATAGCAGCACAGTTTGCAATAGCTAAAACTAGGAAACAGCCCAAATGCCCATCAACTGGAGACTGGACAAAGAAAATGTGGTTTCTTTATAAAATGGAGTACCACTCAGCCATAAAAAAACAAGAAATTAGAGACATTTATAGCTAAATGGATGCATATTGAGGCCATACTCTTAAGTGAAGTAAATAGGACACACGTGTAAATACCAAATATTTTCTCTAGTGTGAGAAACTGAAAGTGTAAATAAGGACTACAAGGTATAACAGATAATGTGAAATAGGGAGAAAGGGGGCAAAGGGGAAGGAGACTTGAGAGGGGTAGGGGAAAAGAAAGAAGGGAATGGAATTAAAATGAGAAAATGAAAAAATGGAAACAAAGTCTTTTTAAATAGGGAGGGATGGAGGGGTTGAAGGGAGGGCAAGGGAATAGGGAAAAATAAGAACCAAGAGAGATTATGTAAAGGTGCAAATTCCCAATGATGAATGTCATTATATTGTACACCTAAAATGTCCCAATAAAATTAATTTTTTAAAAAAACATTTCATCACAGGCCAATATTTCTTACATGGGGTGTGGACACATGTGCCTTGACAAAAGATTGATAAAAAGATCAATAAATAGATTAAATAGATCTATAGGAAGATCACTGAATCTCAAGATCTACTCCCCTCTCTCTCTCCCTGCTCTCCACCAATCCTTCCCTCCTTGGGCAGAAGCAGAGGAGAACCAACAAGTAAGGAAAGCCATGAAGGAATTGGAGAGCCAGAATGAACATCTGCATCCTCAAATTCCACAACGGTATGTATTTGTGCCAGTTTCATTTGCTGTTGAATCTTCAGCAAATAGAGTAATGCCTGGCACATAGTCAGTGCCCAACAAAAATGTACTGATAATATAAATTATGTTGTGGAGAAAGAAAATGCATTACCTTAGGGGAGGCTGGAAACTGGTAAGGGGTCCAAGGTAAGAAATACTCTCATTTGCAATCAAATATGCAAAAACAAACAGAGATAAACAAAATGGAAGTTCTTAAAAACCCATACAGTGATGTGCACTCAGCAAATAAGAAAAAAAGACTGGCAGCTCTAGTACATCTGACTTGTAATGACTTTCAGGAATAAAGTACTGAAAGGAAGTGGCAGGGTGCCCACAGATGCACCAGAGCACAGACCAGACCAGACCTGCCACCCCAGCCCCCACCCAGCCCACCTCACCGTGTCTCCAATCTTGAGTCCCACACAAGACTTGAGGCCTGGGATGACTTCATTGTTGAGGCAGGTGGCATTGAAGGATAGAGACAATTCTTCAGGGAGGTCTCGTACTTCTAGCTCTACTTTAGAACGGATTTTCTGAATAGAAAAGAGAAACAAAAATGTTAAGGAAATGGGCTCAAAGTAACTGGGCAAGAGCCAATTCCACCCCAAGAAAAATCTACTACATGGCCTTGGACTCACCATGGCAGTGCCAGACGCTGATGTTTGCTGGCTCTCTTTCCTGCCTAGGAAACTGCTCCCTCTTCCTGCTCCCACTTGTGTCAAAATGAATCTGGGTAAAATCTAGACCCTCCTGCCAGCTTCATGGACATGCAATAGGGAGTATCAATACAGGTCACCTTGTTCTATCTAATTTTTAATTACCCTAAGATGGGCATGGTGGTGCACACCTGTAATTCCAGCACTCCAGGAAGCTGAAGCTGGTAGATTTTTAAGTCCCACCCCCGGCAACTTAGTGAGACTCTGGCTCAAAAAGAAAAGGAAAATAAAAAAGAACTGGGGATATAACTCAGTCCTAGGTTCAATCTGCAATACAACAACAATAACAACAGAAAATAATCCTCACCTTCCCCTTGGCTCAGATCTCTCTTTTCTCTGTCTTTGGAGCCCGGCTCTCCCTCACTCTGCCCCCTACAATTGCTCCTTCTCCATTTAATCCCCAGCCCCTACCCTTCCACCTCTCTAAGCTCTCCACTCATTGTCCCCATTTCACTCTGACGTTCTTTGCTGGGTCATTTCCTTCTCAGAGGCTGCATCTTCCCAGGGCAGGCCATTGCTCAGCCTCTGGGAGCCCAAGAGGAAGGCAGCAAGGCTACACGTTGGACTGGCAGCCAGCACTCCCAAATCTGAGCCCTGTAGCATAAGCCAAGTCCAGAAGATTCAGCAGGCATGTTCCCAGCACAAGACACTTACCCCATAAGCATCAACAATGAGCTGGAGGACATTGCTGGAATCGGCAGACAGAACTCCCACTGTGGTCCCTGGGATGAGCTCACTGTAGTTCTAGAAAGGAAAACAAAGATGTTCAAAGCTTAGTGAAGAAAAGTAGCGGTCTCTTTACCATATCAGATTGAGAGCCTTGAAATGAAGATTGGAGGAATGTACGGGATATTTCACTTGCCACTATTAGGAATATATCCGGCAGTTTTTCAGTCCTGAGCAAAATTATTCAAAACCTTTGACACTCTCATCACACTGAATGACCTCCCCTCCATCACTGCAAACATCAACATATCTTTCCTAGTAAGTTTGAGGTTGGAGGAAAAGGGCCACAGGAAGGAATCTTAAGTACCTGGGGAATGGGTTGAAGAAAGGTCTTTCTTGGTTTGGGTCACTACTCATGGTAGTATGGGCTGGCTCCCCGGGATAGGTTCACCCATCATAGGACCTGATCCAAGAAGCCCTGAAGACAGAGTTACCTGGTAGAGTCTGACTACATTTTCAGTCACTGCAAAAATCAGATTGATGTTGTTCTGAGATAGCTTCTCGGTCATCAGCCCCAGAGAGGGATAATCCTAGAAAAAGGGAGGATATGTAAGTTTAAAAATCTCACATAAATCCCTGAATTCTAAGCCTTCAAACTTGGCCGATTTGGGCTATGACCAAGACAGTAGTGATGCTTTAAGTTTTCTACCCATAGTCAAAGTGAAGTGCTATGGTTGGGTTGCAGTTTGAAGTATGTCCCTCAAGGTTTCAGGTATTCACATTTAATTCTCATTTCAAGGTATCAGGAGAGTGGAAACTTAATCTGACTATGGTGTTTGGTGGTGTGGCCTTTGGGAAGTGATTAGGATCAGATAAGGTCATAGATGGATCCCATGATTGAATCCTGGTGGCTTCATAGGAAATGGGAGGGAGACTAGAAGAGGCATGCATATACACTTGTGTTCTCTCAATTTTGCCATGTGATACCTTGTATCATCTTGGGATTCTGCCAGCAAGGCTATTACCAGATAGGGTTCTTTAACCCTACATCTCCAGAACAATGAGCCAAAATAAACCTCTTTTGTTTATGAATTCCCCAGTCTGTGGTACTGTGTTACTAGCAACCAAAAATGGACTAACACATGAATAAGAAGGATAAAGTAGCAACATAAACCTGTGAACTCTAGAGACAGATGAAAAGGTACAGGCTAGTGGTATCAAAACTAAGTACCTCTTTCTTGTCACTCTAATTCAATGCAGTAACATCATGGGGTACCTTCACAGGTCAGACACCAGGTTAGACCTTGTTGTTTTAGAGCTACTAACAAACACCTTAGCATTCCCCTGTGATCCTCCACCAATACAACAAGTATTGTTTTCTCCCAGTGGCCACAGTGAGCATGGTATTCCAAGAAGGGGCTCATCATTAGAACGTGGTGAAAGGCTTGCTTCCCAACTGGCCCCATGAGTACTTTGGGTCTATTCTGGATGCTATGACACTTCTGCTAGTATTGATAACAGTGGAATCAGTGACAATACCAGCCACAGTCAAGATAATTTCTAATAGCTGTACAAATTGTACCTATATAAGGGTATCCTGTTGGTAGGGGCAGAGCGGACTAGAACTAAGCCCTGCCCACTGCTCAGGAAGGGCTGCCATTTTCATATTTATACAAAGGTGTTGACTGGGCTAGGGCAACCTTAGCCATAGTGGACAGGAACTATGGGTGGTGCCAGGGATCTCACCATGGTAGTAGAGGCAGAATAATGATTGTCACTGCCAAGGTGACACTGCCCATCGTTGGGCTGGACAATGCCTGCCAACCTGCCATCCAATGCTACATGGGTCTTAGCATCAGTGGTAAACACCAGCAAGTGTGAGGCATCATTCCTCCAGCCAATTTTTTCCTGTTTAAATAAAGGCAAAAGAGACAAAGCAATTTCAGTCATATCACTGGTAGAGAATAAAGATCTAAGGACCTACCTACCCAAAGGGCCAGGCAAGTTATCTTGGAAAAGAACCTCAGTCCAAGTCCTTGAAATCCAAACTAGAACTTTCCAATTCAGGGGTTTATGTTCTCTTTGGAAAACAGTCTCATACTTATTAGTTCAAACAGCCAAATGAAACCTTCAACTCCAAACATAACTCTTCCAATGATAGTCATGTTGCCCATCTAGAAACCAACCTGCATCCCCAGAGCTGGGCTGAGCTAGAAGAAATCCTATCTAAACATCTGCCCCCTTTGCTAAAGTTAAGCTAATCTAGCCTTGACTTTGAAATAATTCTGGAGAAAGTAGGAAGATGCTGTCCACTGAAAACATCTGGGACCAGTGAGGTTCAAAGAGACATTGGCTTTGGCCAGGAGTGAATAAAAACAGAGGCTGAATATCTGAAGCAACTTATTCACAATGAACAAAATTCTGGTTAGTCCTTATCTCTTATTTTACACCAAATGTTCCCAGGGTGAGCCACTTGCTTCCCCATTTTTATCTGTCATCTGTGCCTGGCACCCCATGCCTTCCAAACTCACATCACAGACTGTAGCCTGAATGATGGCATCAAAGCCACCCTCTGGGGCATCCCGGTTCCGTGACACACTCTGTTTCTTCACTTCCTCATTGAAGCGGGTCACCTGGTCAGTAAGTGTCAGCACATGCTTGTAGCCAAACATGGGCAAACAGGAGCTCTTCATACTGGGAAGGGATGGGAAATAATTTAAGCAGACACAGTGATGGGTAAAGACAAGATTAGCCTGGAAGGGGGAAAAGGAGAGACAAATATGGACAACAGTTTCCATACGTTTCCAACGTTTCCATACAACCACAATTACTCAGACAGTTTGGGCTCCAGATCCCTCAGATTACCTGAGGGCATCACATCAACCTTACCTCCAGCTAGCTTAGGGGACAGGAGGGTGAGCTGGGAAAACAGACTACCTGTATTCAAATCTCGGTTTCCCCATTACGATCATGGAACCCTTGGCACACACCTCTCATGATAGCACCTATCTCAGAAGCGCTGTCATAAGGTTTATATGAGTAAAACACGTAAACAACAGTAAGGCTTGAATCATTGCTATCACCTTATAATTAACATTTCTCTACAGTAAAAATGAGGCCAAAATGCATTAGAAAGTGAAGTCCCCTTAGCCATTAATAAATGAATAGATCTTCAGACAGGAGCACTGCTATCCCCAGACTCACAGTTATTTAATTAGCAGTTGATGTGTTTACTGGGAAATTTACAACCCATACGGAAGGACAAAAGCTACATCACGAAAGTTGGAAAACTAAAAAGTAAATTCACATCTTCTCAGGCTTAGTAACCATCATTTTAAAGGAATTTGCATAGTCTGTACCACTTAAGTAAGTCATTCAGCTACAAGCCAAAATGTGAAATAGAGGCACAGGCTCAGGGGCACTCAGTGGTAGAGCACTTGCCTCGTTCCATTCCCACCACCACCAAAAAAAAAAAAAAACTTAAGGTACAAATTTATCAATTCACACACTATTAAAAAGTTTGACAAATGTTATTTGCATTCTTACATTCCTCTAGGGCTTAATTTCGTACATTCTAACCCTACAAAATTCATGACTTTGATGATGAGAATAGTGACAACGATAAAGTCAGTCCTTCCAAAAGCATAATTCCTCTGCTTATTTATCCATAAATTTCTCTGCTTTTGACCTCATTTCCCTCTCATTTTCTCTTGCCTCCTATTTATTTGTGACAAAGACCAAGCTGCTAATGGATTTTTTTCTAGGTTCCCAGACAGACTTGGGGTGTCTTGGCACAACATCCCACTCAGATTAGCAGGCTAGCCCATTTACCAGACAAGGAGACCAAGGCAGAAAGGAGCTATGATTTGGCCAGCAAGTGGCTAACACAATGACCCTAGAGCTAGAAATTGGAGCCAGGATGTGGATAAAGGTGGGGAGGTGCTTTCCTGCTTCTGGAGTATGGACTTACTCATAACAGGGGTTTTTGAGGGCTTCTGGTGGGGAGATGTACATGTACGGTGACACAGGCTTATCCACAAAGGCCCCAAAGCCAATCCTCAGGTTACTGGTAAGCTTGCGCATCTGGGAGGCCAGCGAGGTACCCAGGCTCTGGATGCTCCTCAGATCATCCTTCATGGAGTAAGACAGGTCCATCAAGTAGTAGATGTCTACAGGGTAATCTTCCACCTGCCGCACTTGGATGGAGAACTTCCTTGAATCATCTGGAAGGCAGAAGGGTGTTAAGTTTTTTCTCTTCTTTTCCCTTTCAGACTGAATAAATAGGTTTGGATACATCTGGGACTAAGAGACTGCTTGATCAAATCAACTTTAAAAGCCCTAGTCCCTTCTCTCCCTTTACAATTCTTTTCCTCTCCCGATCTCTTGACCCTCCTATTTTTAACCTCTTCTTTTCCATTCTAAGAGTTTCCCACCCTGTCTAAATCCCTATCTTTCTAATCATCTGGGTCCCGAGAGTCACAGAGGTTTTGACAATTACTACACTCAGAGTCAGTAAAAGACAGGAACTGCATTTTACTCTTTTCTGAATCCCATAGCACCCCACACATACCTTGTACATAGTGGGTCTCTCTTAAATTCTTACTGATTTAAGTGAAAAGTCAAAAATCAGTACTTCAAAAGTCAGTGTCCCTTAGCCTAATCCTTTTTCTCCTCAAAGATCTTCTGTCCCTGCTTTGTCTGCCATTATGCTTCTGCCCCAGTGGGGGGATAAAAGAGCTTACAAATTGCTTTCTCATCCTTTATCGCATTTGCACATCAATACAAAGGTGTAAGTTAGGTAAAATAGGTATGAGGAGTCGAAGAAGCATTTTTTGAGCACCTACTATATCAGAAGGGTTAAATAACTTTCCCAAGATGGAGTTAACCTTCAAACTCAGTTATTCTGACCCAAGTCCTAACACTTCCCATTTTCTTCACTTTCCCACCCACATTTCCCCCCACATCCTTCTCTTCCCATCTCATCTCCATTCTGAGCTAATCATATTTCCTGCCTAAACCTCTATCTTGGGGCTGTAGCCCATCTATCACAGTTCTCTACCTGCAGTGAGTCTATCCCTACCTGGCCGTAACCGGAGAGCAATTCTCTGGGGAGTGACTTGAGTAATTTGAGAGCTGTCTCCAGAGCCCTTGTTGCTGAGGGGTCTGGCTTCCAAGATTTGGACCTCGCTGATTGGGAACTCAACAGTCTCAGGAGCACAGTTATCCTCCAGCAGATTCTCCTTCAGGTTACAGCGGGGTGAGCCCAGAGGCAGGGCCTGTAAGACAGGAGACCAAGAGGAAGCTCTGAAGTCAGAATTTTGACAGCTCTGTGCTCCTGCAGGCCCTGCTGTCTCCTGATGGCTTCGAGCTTACTCAATACTTTGAAGCTAACCCCAAATAAATGAACTGGTATGGTTCTTTCTTGGATAATCCCTAGGACTGTGTATAGAAAGAGGAAACTAAGTTATCAAAAGGGCGAAGTGCCTGTTCATGGACAATAGCTTTATTAAAAGAGGGCCTATATAGTAAGATGCCTGTTGGACCAGCATTTTTCAAACTGAAATGCAACTCATTTGTGGAGCTCAAGATCAATTTAGTGGTTCTCAATCATTCATTAAATAAAATGTAACAGAATAGAATATAAAAATATCAACATATATAAATAGTAAAAGTAAGTGTTGCTTTATAAAATTTTTACTTACTGGAGAATGGGCTAAAACACATATAATAAAGAATGACATACAGTGTGTTTCTTTCTGTAGCTGAAGGTCAAAACCATTTGGAAGCTGCTATGTTAAACCCTACCAGGCTGTGAGATTCCTGGAGACAGGGACTGTATATGTCCTGTTCCCTTTCTATTCCCAGCACCCAACCCAGGACTGATGACAAAGGTGACAGGGGAGAAGGCAGTATGGGGAAGGTAAAGGATAAGAGTACAGGAGTAGACTAACCCAGACTAACTCCCAGCATTGCCACGCTAAATTGTTTCAGGGTTTGGGCAAGTCGTCTATAGTCTCCAAGTCTAGTTTCTTCAGCTATCACACGAAGATAACAGCCCTCCAATGGTACACAGAACAGTCAAATTCCTAGAGAGGGACTAGAATGGTGGTTGCCAGGATCTGGTGAGAAGGAGGAATAGGGTCTGCTTATTTAATAGACATAGAATTTCAATTTCACATCGTGAGAAGAGTTCTGGAGATGGATAATGGCTTTCACAGCATTATGAATGCATTTAATACCACTAAACCACACACCTAAAAAGTGAATGAGATGGTAAATTCTGTTATGTGTATTTTACCACAATATAATTACTTTTAAAAGAAATAATAATAATAATAATCCCTTCCTCATAGGGCTGGCATGTGGGGCTAAATAAGACAATGCATGTAAAACACATAACACAGTACCTGCCATACCGTAAGTGCTCAATAAATTTTAGCTAGTATTATGTGATGCCATAAATATTTCTTGAATAAATTAATTATGAATAAACTTCACAAGCTTGGGAAAATGCCATGATGCCAGATTACTGACCAGAGCCTGTCCTATCACGTTCCTCCTTCATCCTGGACAAAGAGCAAATTGAGCACCCATCCAAAAGCCCTGACCTACATCCTACCACCCTCTGTGGCTCTACGTGTACTTACACGTAAGTAGTGAATGGCTGACACACTCTAATGGAAAAAATACCAGAAACCAGGAAACAGGTTCAATTGTAGGTCAGCCACTAGCTATCCATCCAAGCTCAGATAAGTCACTGTGAGCCTGTTTCCTTGCCTATTCATTAAGGAAGGTCAGACTACGTGATGTTTTCAGTCTCTTACTGCTCTGCCACTCAGTGAATTCAGCCAGTGCTGTGTGCCTACCTATCATGAGGGCTTCTTGCCAGGTTGAAGGGAGTGACTAGAAAGCTGGAAAACCCCTCTCTGGGATATTTCACAATGTCTGAGCCTATTGGCTCTCATACCCACCCCCTCACAACCACATCCAAAAGCCAACTGACAAACCCAGACAAATACCCTGAAACAACTGGTGTCAACGTTTATTGAGCACTTAACTGTATGCAGGCACCGTGATGACCGTTTTACATGGATAACTGCAATCCTCCTAACAGTTCTGTAGTGCTGCAACTATTAGTATTTTACAAGTAAGGGTTTGAAAGCTCAGAGGCTTCACATGAGAAGCACAATCTTACAGGTAAGAAATCTGAGACTTAGAGAAGTCAAGTAACTTGCCCAAAGTTGCAGAGCTAGAAGTGGCACAACTGACAGGCCAACTAGCTTTTCTGATCGTAATTATCTTTCTTAAAATTCAGTTTTGTTACATTCTGTATAAAGAAAGGGTTTGGACACAGAAACAGGAGTGTGAAAAAGATGGCTCTAGGAAAAACCAACTAGGGAATGCCTGAGGTAGGCAACAGGATGCAAATGGGAATGTCACAGGGAAGGACAGACAAAATGCTTCCCCTTCAGCATGTTCATGTGGCCTGGCAGCACTAATACCCAGAGAGGGGTAAGGTCACTGGGGACCACCTACGCTCAAAACCTCAGTAGCCCAAAACCCCTCCTAATGCTCAAAGTCCCTGTCTTCTCGGGTCCAGTACCCCTCTGAGCAACTGAATGTCTTCTCCCACATGGATGGACATGAGCAGCAGCATGAGCACTACCCCAGCACAAGCACAAAGTGAAAAGAGCCTCTGGAGCTCTGCAACTTTGTTCCTTTCTCAGCTTCTCAGGTGTTAAGACCACAGAAATAGCCTCAGCAATGGGAATCAGTGCATAGGACTTAACTGTCCTGACTATAAATATCCCATTATAAACATCACAGACCCTCCACAACTCTGAAAGAGATGAAAATCTCCTTTCCCTCACTCAGCTCTGGCCAGGGAAAAGAACGACCATGGGGAGAACTCCTGGACATTTCAGGTTTTGTGTCCAGCCTCCCCTGGTCTCTGCTCATCTCTCCCAACCCGTCTCCCTCAGAAAGCATCTTTTTCTTATTCAAAAAAACCCCAATCTTGTCTCTGATCCCAGCCACCCACAAAGCCTAAAGAAAACCTTCCCAAAAAGGCAATAATTGGATCACCAAGATGCTGCTGTGAAGAGCTGATCCTTTCCAGGACAGGATAGAGGCTAAAGGAGAGAGCTGGGAGCGGGAGGCCAGGGAGCTGATGAGAACAGCAAGCCATCAATTATCTTCACCTCGGCAAAAGGAGAGATTGTTCATGAAGGGGGTGTCCTCACTCCCATTTTCTAATGGGGCAGCCCTAATTAGAAGAAGGCTTAAAGTGCTAAGATACACTGACAGTCCTTACGGTTTGGCAGGAGTGTCCTTAGAAAAATAAACATTGAAAAACAAAACCTATCTCCCTCTCCCTTTTCCTCCCGTTGTTGTCACCAACGTCAGAGGTTGAGAACCTAACAGACCTACTCACTAGCCCAGATGTCCCTGAGAACTTCCTGTCCCAAGAGGGCAGTGACCTCTGCCCCCACAGGCAACATTCCCTTTCTGAATAACCCAGACTGAGGTGTTAGAAAGGATGCTTCCAGGCTACTCAGAGAGAAAACTAGAAAGGGGGTGGATATTAAAGTTTCAGTTTCCAGTGAAACTAGAATATTACACAAAAAGAGCAAAAACAGCCAAGGCCCAGGGAAAGATTCCAAGCACAGAAGTGGGAGGTTTCAACCCACGTACAGTCCCAGCTGATAGATTACCTCCCTTTCCTGGACAGTGACACATGCTGTTAGTACCATTCCCCATTAATCCTATTTGGAAATTAAGAAAGAACAGCATAAATAGTAGTCATTATGCAATCTATTTCACAGGGTTGGCCAAAGAATAAAATGAGACTGTGAGTGTGACATGCTTTCAAAATACAAAAATCTCAATATAAGTCAAATATACTTAAATCCTTTTGGATACACTGTAAACAAATAAAAGTAAATAAAGATGACTCTTCTATAATTACCATTATAACTATGAGGATTGCATACTTGTTCCTTGGAGGAAGGCAAGGGGCAATATGCCCAGGTATTTTACTCCAGAGAGCTACCAAAACATCTCCAGCACAAATAAATTAATACTGTTGTCTTGATTGGCTTACCTGCTGAGTACAAGCAGGTACATAAACATGCATGTTCATGTCTGAACATCCGGACAGAGAATTACGGACAGGACAGAAAGGAATAGAGAAGGAAAATATTTTAGTTTATAATTGGTGCTAGTCACACTTCATTGTTCACAAAAAGAGGAAAGCTCTTCATATTATCCTTTTCCTCCAACTTGTAAACAACATAACTCTCAAGATGGACATTTATTCTCCAAATTTATAAGTAGAAAAACAGCAGAAAAGTGAAAATAAATTTATATTAGCAACTAAAAAGGATTACAAAGAGTGGTCTAAACCTTTCCTCCACATTTGTGGAAAAGAAACAAGAAGAGCTATTGAGGTCTTCCTCTCGCTTTGCTAGACCCAAACCCCACTGTTTCTCTTTCATCCCTGGACATATGACTAAGTATGAGCTGGCCTACCTTCCAATGTGTACCCAGTCCTATACACCAATTTCTAGTATTTCTTTCTTCCCTAGGGTTGCCAAATGTAGCAATTTGGGACATACTCATACTAACAATTTCTTGTCGCTTAGTTCCAATTTAATTGAGTGTTCCTGTATTTATCCAGCAACCTTAATTCCACTTCTACTCACCTTGACCAATAAACAGCCCCTTCAATTGGCAACGTTTGTCCAACTTGCCATCATAACAACCCATTCTGATGCAATAAGTCCAGGGTCCATCCTGGAAACTTTTATTTTTAACAAGCCCCTCAGCCAATCCTCACCATCAAAAGAGTTTGGGAGGGTCTAGACTCCAACATGGTGCCACTGAGGCCAAGACTACAAGCTGAATCTCTCCATAAAGCTGGCCTCTTTGCTAAATGTACAGAGCAGAGACAGCCCACTACCCCAACCCAGGTCAGTATCTAACTCTCCAAGGACACACCCTGTGCAGATAGGCCCAAAACACCACACTCATTCACACTGGCCATGTTTTCCTACTACCCAGCCAACCACTCACTCCACACACCCAAAAGCTGCTGTCCTCTGAGTAACAAGAGAAAACTGAGCCCAACCAGTTGTTTTTCCAGGCACTGCCAGCGTTGCTTTCAACAATCAAGGCAGGGGAGGCAGGAGCACTGAGCTGCAACCCAGCCCCACCTTTAGATTTTAAATCAACAGCCAAGGCACTTTGAGCAGTTAACCTTGACCTGTACAGGGGAAGTCCTGCTCCCTCAAGAAAAAGACAGCAGTCATGCCGTCCGGATTCCCTCCTCTTTCCTCTCTGGAAGACACAATTTGTCCCACACCAGGCTCCTTTACCTGCCATCTCCCACCTCGTCCCTCTTGCTTAGTGAAAGCTGTAACCTAAGCCCTTGGCTTCCTCTGCTTTCATGTCTATATTCCATCCTCCAGGGAAATATCCCACTGGACTTTCTATCTGCCCCCATTAGTTTTCTTTGGTCCTAGCCGTACTCACTTCCTGATTCCCCTCTTCCTAGGCTGGGAAATGCTTTCATCCTACCACTGCACCTTTCCCCTGCCCTCTCCTGGCCTTCTTCCGCAGACTCTCTAAGCCAGAGTTACCTGCCTTTTCTCTTGCTTTCTACGGAAAAGGAGGAAAAGAGGAAGAAGATACATTCTTTGAACACTCAGGTTTCTGTCCTGGTTCCCACTGTGCTCTAGCTAGCTTCAGGGCAACTTATCTAGACACTCCTCATCCAGCTCCCTATTTTTCCGGAATTCTGCCACAGAACAGCAACTTCCTTATTTAAAAAAAAAAAAAAAAGGTTAATATCATGATGGTGACAAAGGCAGGAGGATATGGCAAATGAGAAGGGAGGAGGCTACATCACCACACTTGAGCAGCCAGCTCAGCCCAGAGGGGAGGGGCACCTGTGGGGGCGAAGGAGAAGGACTCGCCCTCCTCCCTCACCCCCTACCTCCAGCCCCAGGGACCAGTTCATTTGCTAAATGAAGTCAATGTGGCCCAGATGTTGGGCAGCTGCCTCTGGAAGCAGTTTCCCATGCTAGAGAATCACGTGTTGAGCTGGCCTCCATGCTCTGGCAGCCTTCCTGTTGGGGATAAACACAGCCTCCCTGCTCCCCTCCTCCCCAGCCTGCCAGAGAGGTTGCCTTTTTAGGAAACCCATTAGAATAGGAAGAGAAGTAGAAATAATAAGGGACGCAACTGGCGCTGTCATAAAACTGTAGAGGGCCGGGACATGCTACGGGACAGAGAATGCCTCCAGAAGCCTGTGTAGCAGCCAGGCCAGGAGTCAGGTAATCACCTGCCAACAGTCAGTGACTCAGCCTCAGACCCCATAATCACTGGGAATCTGTCCAGCCACATTCACCCCTCCCACCACCACCAGCTCTTGCCAGCTCCAAATTCTCACGAAAGCCACAAACATAGCCATTTCCCTAGACACACTCATTCTCTAGGGCCTCAGACACAACAAACCCTCTGCCTAGACACAGCTAACCCTTTCCTGTCACCCTCCCATCCCCAGCAATGGGCACAACTCCTTCCCTCATTGACACCTAGGAGAGGGAAAGAAAGGAAGAAAAAAAAGAGAGAGGTACAATCATAAGAGGAAGAGAAAAGATCCTCCAACTAAACACTCCCCCCCGCACACACAAGTAAGTGCAAGGCTCCTAGGTATCTTTTTTAAATTCTGGGGAAAAGAAGTAAGCCAACATCTCCTCCTTTTTCAACCTGGGGCACCTCTTCCCTGGTATGTTCCACCCCAACAAAGAGCAAGCAAAGGGTATTACAGGAGAACAATGCTTACAGCAAGATCAGAGGGGCAATCAAATTGGTTGGGGTAGGGAATTCACAGTAGACTTTGAATGGTATTTCTAGTAATGTCTCCATGACAGCCTTTCTCCATCCAGAACTGTAAAGGATTCACTCTAGCCTTACTCAATAGGGTCAAGGGAGTGTGCATTTAGAAGGGAGAACACCATGGGTCTGTTCCTATACAAAAGCATCAAAGTCTGGGAAAAAAAGGTGAAATATCTGATTCTCACCTCATCTGAGCACCACGCACACACAGGACTCACAGCCAGACACTGCTGGCAAGAGCTCACACCTCGTGTGGTACAGATGTTGGGCCCTGCAACAGAAGAAAAAAGTTATTAGTACCCGACCTGTTACTCAACAAAATCTCTGCCCCACCCTTCCCCAGTTTCCTGAATCCCCATGTCTACAGCTCTTGGGTACACAGAGCATGTTCTAACCACGCATAGACATTTACCAAACACAGGCTATTGGTAAGGAAGAAAAATAAGGCCACAGTGATGGCAAGTGATGGGGCAAAGCTGAACCATGAAAGAAAAGGCTTTAATTAATAATTGATTTGACCTACATTGCAAATGAAAATATGAGACCCAGAGTAATGACAATGTGTCCTCTGCAATTACTTTAGTGATGTTCACAGCCACTATACATACACAGGACCCAAGGCCGGACCACTGACATTAACACATAGCCTATTTTGGAGCAGTGGGCAGGATGACTTCAGTGGCAGTGTACCACCGGCTTCCTAGGGGATAGTAAATCTTCTGAAATCTTGTTTTTCCCAATCACATTATTTTGGAACTCAAGTTTGAAAATCTCCAGAGAGAACCAAAGAAATGTTAGAAAATGTTGACTGGTATCAGCTAGAAGAATGTGGAATTTGGGAGTTGGAAGGGAGGTCTCTGTTTGGATTCTGAATGCCCATATTACTAACTGTCATGGCTGCTGGCACCTCACCTAATCTTCATGAAACAATGTATCTATTTCGCAAAATGTGTGCAATAAGTTAATGAGGCAAGGAGTACACTACAAGATGCCATTCAAATGTGAACAATCCTCTTACTGACAAAGGGCAAAGAAAAGGTTGGGGGGATGAGCAGGGACAGCCAGAGGGAAAAAAATAGCCCTGAAAAGCCTAGCCAGAAAGCAAAACCCAGGTATTTGCTTGGAAGCTGTCATACTTTCTGCTCCCCCTAGCTCAGTTCCCTGGCCTCGGCCAAATAAAGACCCTCTTCCTGTAGTGCCCCAGGAAGGAGGCCTTTTTCAATACAAGGAGCAAACGAAGAAAGATCCATTCTTCCCCACAACCTCAGTTATCCTGACAGTTTCTTTCCACAATTTTCTAAAGGGATTCCTTTGACCCTAGCTGTTAAGACCAGCAAATTTTCCTGGGGAAATAATACTGTGTTGAGGTTTTCCCAATATCCCCAAAACTTCTCCTCCTCCAAATGTCTCAGTTTATTTTATTATGGTGCAACTGAATTCCCTCCATCCCAATACCTGGACAAAAACACATTCAGAAAATGACCTAGAGATTATCTGTACTTTCGTTTGACATCTATTAATTAGGATATTTTACAACCCGGTAAGAATAAAAGTCACCTGTAGAAAATCAATGACAATGGAAATGATTCTTGATGAGAGCAATGTATATGATTCTAATCCAACAAAAACACCAATGATTTCTGTCTGGTAGAAAAAGTACCTCCCAAAGGTTAAGGTTAATTGCTTTATATAACATTAACTAGTTTTGAATCCATTAGCTAATTCACTTCTGCCTGACCAACTACAAATCTTTCCTTGAATTCTCTTCTGAACTAGTCCCAACATCTTACTGGTTCCCTCACTACTCTTGAATGAAATCTTTGACATATGTGTACTTTATATTTGTATAGAAGTCATACTCTTAACTCTTTGAAAATTGCACTTTAAGGGGTTAGGGAGATAGCTCAGAGGTAGAATACGTGCTTGGCATGCACAAGACTCTAGGTTTAATCCCCAACATGACAGGGAGTGAGGAAGGGAGGGAGAGAAGGAAGGAAGGGGAAAAAAAGCAGAAAATTATGCTTTAACAACAAGTATTTCAGGGCAGAAGGATCTAACAGAAAAGGGACACATACAATTTAGCAGACTGTGTAGTCTTGGGTGACTCATTTAACTCCTCTCAGCCTCATTTTCTTCATTTCTAGTATTCCTACCATATTATAACTATCTATGTAGTATCTGCCTTAATGGCACTGCTACCCAATATGTTTAGGTCCCTTACTGGCTGCCCTGCCCTGCTCAAACGAGTCTTCTCTCTCTCTCTCTCTTTCTCTTTTTTGTTTTTTTTTGGCAGGACCTTGGGCTTTCAAGGCAAGCGTGGTGCCACTGAGCTAAATCTCTGGCAAACCAGCCTTCTTATTCAAAGGAGATGATCAGTAAATACTGTTTTGTTTTTAAGCAACTGAGTCCATTTCTCAAAATTATAAATAGAATTCCAACATAAAATGTATAAATGGGTTCCTCAATTTAAATTTTCATTGCTCTCTCCAAAACACTAGATTATATGTGGAATCCTTGAAGCGCTTCCTAGAAGGTCCCTCAGAGCCTTGAGTGTGTCTAACGTCAAAGACCTTTACAACCCTAAAATACTACAAATGGGATTATAACGGGATGCCACTATAAGCCCATGAGTAACTTCTGCAGTTTCACACTCTGATTTGACTACAACCTAAGCACTGTGGGATCGGAATTATGGCACTGGTTCCAGGCCTGGTCCCAAAGCATCAAGGTCACCTCTAAGGTAGAGCAGCCCTCAGCCATGCAATGGCTATGACAGAAGAAAAGTATCTGGTCTTCCCAGAGCTACCAGATTCAGAATGTCTTAACTTTCAGAACCAAGAGTACATACAACCTAAGGCTTCTCCCTGAAAGGGATGCCTGGCCCTATCTCGGCCCCACAGTTGTTATTTCCCTAGGCAAATATGGTCATAGCCTCTCTTTTCTGCTCTGTCAGAAGGGTTCTGGGAGGAGTTTCCATGGGGATCAGTGTCCAGGGGGGTAATACTGGACAAAAACTCTGTTGATGTTCATTAGGGAGAATAGAAGCACAAGGTGGCCAACCATTGAAGAGTTAAAAGACACAAGAGGAACATGGGAGGTGTAAGTGCTGTCAAACTGTTTTTGAGAACTTTCCCCAGTCTATCATTTTATCCAGCCATTAATTCTTAAATTAGCATCTTCCTGAGTCCCTGACTTGTAGCCACAATAGAAAACTTGCCAGATGTTTAAAGAACATCAGGCCCCTCCCAGTGTACAGTCCCCTTCCCCAGAAGATGAGCTATGCTGCCGAGGTTTGTTCTTTAGGAAGTCAAGCCTGGGAGTCATCGTTACCCAGTCTCCTTTATTCCTTCTTTTCAATGAATCACAGGTTGATTTCGTGAGAAACAGTGATCCCCCATAATAACCCCAACTAAGTCCTGCCACCAAGGGGAGTTTCCCTGGAACCCAATGATTGAAAATGACTGACTCAGGAGTCCCCAGGTTGGGCTCAGGCTGATTCAATGAGTTGCTGCTGTGAAGCTGGCCCTCCCTCCTGAGTTTGTAGAAGGAGCCTGGGCCTCTGTTTCCAATCATTCATAAAGTTGGTGTTTCTGCTCAGCCTCTGGGGCCCAGATGTGGTCCTGCTGAAGAAGAGGGGATCTTCACCAGAACTGCATCAAAAAGAATGGAAAAATCCTCAGACCCTTTCCTCTAACAGATTATACAAAGTAGCAAAACAAGGTGAATGGGCCTTGTCTTTACAGGGTAGTTAGAAAGAGGAAACGATGCAATCTCTGGAATATTCTTGAACACAACAGCTGGCTCACAGAAAGTACTCAATAAATGCTGCTCCTATAGTTGCTATTTTTTCTATAGTTGCTATTTTCATCCTTAGTCTCAAACTGTTTAGGACAAGTGAGAGTTTTGATTTTTTTTAATATGTCCTGAAGACATTATTATGTAGAACCCTAGACACAAAGCTAAGTATGCCCTGAACAGGGCAGTTAAGTGTGAGAGTGTAGAGGCAGTAAGTATGAGGCTAAAGTAAAATGACAAACTGTCCAAACTAACTTCTAAATGGAGTTAGGAATTTTAGGTTCAAAAATCCAATCTAGGGGCTGCACATGGTGGCATGTGCCTGTAATCTCAGCACTCTAGAGGCTGAGGATCACCATGAGTTCAAGACCAACCTGGTATAAATAGTGAGTTCAAGGTCAGCCTGAACTACACAGTGAGACTGTCTCAAAAAAAAAAAAATCCAATCTAGGAAGGAAAAGAATCTAGAAAGAAAAGAAGGCCAATAAGAAAAAGAGAGACAGGGCCAGGGATTTAGCTCAGTGGTTTCACCACCTGCTGCACAAGCACAAGGACCAGAGTTCGATCCCCAGTACCAAAAAAAAAAAGAAAAAGAGAGACAAAGCCAGCCAAGAAGTTTGCCTGAAAAGTAGAAGTAGAAGGCTGTGGTTTGGCACATCAGTCTGATTCATAGAATCAGAAGAGAGACGAAGGGTGAGAAAAATAGAGGAAAAAAGGAAATACAAAAAGGGAGTTGGAACCAGTGGAAGTCATACTGCGTCAGTGAAGGCTATTTTGAGGACAGGTTGTGCAAGGAGACAGGATGTCAGAATGCAGGGACAAGCCACACTGATGAGGCCAGAGGATTTCAGGAAAGAACACTTATATGGTATGTTAGATTATATGGTATTCATTGGGAAAGGAGGAGGTCTGTACTGCAACACTATGGACATTTATTGTACTCTCTGCCAGAGAGGACTCCTGGCCTGGATCCTCTGACCCTTGGCCACTTCCCAATTAGATCCACAGGGACATCGGGTGATTCAGCGCCTGGTCTCTCACTGCAGTCACCTGGCAGCATGAGTCATCAAAGCACAAAATGTCTCATGCTAATTGCCCCATGTATACACAAGTGGTTTCTCTACATCCAAGTTCTAAAGAAATTTTATTTTACTTTTGTTTCTTCCTTAAAGGTAGCTCAGTAACCAAGATAGAGGAAGGAGAGAGGTGAAGTTCGAGGCAATACACACTTCTGTGCTCTGAGCAAAATGCTCCAGGATGTACTACCCAAAGCAGTAAGAAATCCAAACAACCAAATTTCATCAAATCTAAGATTAGGGATATAAGATGTATCTGATTTCAGAGATTTTTAGAGCTTTAAAAGTGCATCAGAATCAACTGAAAACAGTATTTAACAATGGAAAATATTATTGTATAATTTGCCACTACCAATATTAAAATGTGTTATAGTTTGAATTGTATTCCCCAAAAAGGTAT